GAGCCAGGATTTTTCTGGTGTCATGCCATACTGGAGAGCACTTCTGCACACAACTGTGCTATTAACTTTTTAAAGCTAGTGTGAAATTTGAATAAAACAGAGTGGAAATTGTACTGATCTGTTTATTTGCAGAGGTTGTGAAATTATGGATCAGGTTTGAGTAGCTGTTTTTTTTTTTTTCCCCTGGTTTTACACTTAGTCACATTAATTCCCTGTTCAGCCACATTATCTGCTTGTTAAATGTATGAGAGAATAATTTTGCTAAGTTGTATACACTTCTTGGTAGCTTATGCACACACAGGTACTAAAAGAAAATTAGCACTGCCAACAGAAATACATTTTAGATAAACTGCTAGGTAAAATGTATAGATACGGATGTCACGCAGTTATTTGATGTGTGCTTCAGAAATGCCCCTGTAGAGGATCTGCAAACTGTTAAGGTCCCGATCCAGCATGCGTTGAATTGGATGAGAGACTTTCCATCTGTTCTGGGTCTGCTTTGTAAAGACAAATGGAATTGTTTAAAGCATTGTATTTTTTTTTTTTTATCCAGTTCACATGGTATATGAAACCTATTAATGGCTTGTATGATGTGAAGTTTGGACAAGAGCCCTTCTTGGTCATCTTGCTGGCATTCTTCCTAATTAACTCCGGCTACGGAAAATGGTTGCTTGGCTTTGAGGAGAAATACCTGTGGGCAAGCCTGGAGCTGCTCCTGAGCATGAGGCTACCACTGAGGCAGCTTCTCCATTCCTGTGCCGTGGGCTTGCAGCAGTGTTAAGCTGCTCCCAGAGGAGTCTGCAAAGGGAAACCGAAGATAGGTTGGGTGAAGGTGGCCGCAACTCATTATGAACACGAGAAGGAAAACACAAAAATGTCTCCTACAAAGAGCTGTTCCTTTGTCTTAGGACTCCTTGTCCTCTCAGACCATGGAAAGCATGGTTTGTTTCGCTGAGATTGTTTTATTTTAATTTTCTTGTACATAAGGAATATCCCAGTGACATTGCTGCCTGGTTACTCAACTTTTTTTAAACTATTTGTCAACAGAGGAGGAATGTGGCTGTGTCTAGGCAAAAACAGTGTTTCAGGAAGAAAAATGCAAGCTCCAAGAGTATTAAATCCCAGTTCTTTACTTACTGCTTCAAACAACTTTTGTAAAACATAATAAATCAAGGTCCTGACAAATCAATGCTCATAACACACTTTGTAGGGGCTGTTTCCAGTAGCAGTCGTTTTGCTGATTTTCCTCGACATAGGTGTAGCAGCATGTTCCTTGCTATTGACAACAGCCGGATGCTGTCTTCACAGTGGCTGAGGCTGGTTACTGTACTCGTGCACACACCAAAGGGTCTTGGCTTTGCCCGGGTGCCTCGTGCCCAGCTGGGGACGTGCATTATCAACAGTGCTCTGTCTTGCTGCTTAATTATCTTTGTGTGCAAAGCTGGAGAGAGAACACAGGAAAGAAAAATGTCTTTGCACAGCGATAATCAATAAGGCCAGCAGTGTTTTAAGCCTTTGGTGATCGCAATTTAGTTGTTTTGAAAACAATCGTAAGAAAGACTAATGATGTAGACCTTGTCATTTGCTGATTGTTCCTGACATCTCAGGAGGAATTTTTAGGAATGGGGCTAATTAAATACTCTGTTTATCTGGTTGCACTAGTGAGGTTATAAAATTCTAAGCCTAAATTATCCTGCATGTCTTTATATCAATGGTAAGCTTCACTTCCTTTCCTGATGTCTCTTGAAGAACTGGGCGCCCTGCACACTGTGCAGCTCCTTGTTAAACCATTGGGAGCTGAAGGAGTTCCTCAGCGTGCGTTTCCAGGAGAGCACTGTAGTTTTTGGCTAGGGACACTAATGACTCATATTTGAAAATTTTACTTTTTTTTTGTGATGTAAGTGGGTGTGGCTGGAAATGCCAGTTCTAGTTTTTCCATAGTTCTGTAAGATTGGAGGGGAAGCACTCTATATTTGTCTATTAGGTTGCTTTGACAAGCAGACAGATTGGAAAGACATTGGAAAGCACTCGAGATCTTAAGTGGACCAAACAGTGCAATCTCTTTTTGTGGAGTTCAAATGCGTATATGTTTCTCCTAGGATAACTTTTCTTCCTTGGCTTTCAAAGGCAAGACAGATAAGTGATGATGGGTGTTAGTCTTCTTGTATGATAGTGGCAAGTTACAAGGTTGACTCTTGGGAATAAAACTGCTGGATGGAGGGAGTTAGCTATTGATTAGCATTTATCTTGTCTGGCAGGTAATATGCTATGTTCAGACTGCTTTATATGAAGAGCTACATGTAAAGTTAAAACTCAGAAAATGTCAAAGCTGGTACCTTTGAGATCCCAAAAATATGGCTGAGGAGAGACTAGGGATCAAAATAGGATCTCCCTCGTGAATTTGTTGCAAACACAAAACCTGATTTTATTAAGTAATTTTGACTGAGCTGCTAAACCGCATAGCAGCTGCTATGAGGGCGAAAGCAATGGGGATCCGAAGCATAGAAATATCCAGTTACCTCTCTTGACTCTAGTATGAAGTCACTGTGACTTCTTTAATGCCAAGAAGTGTTCAAGGGAGCATAGCTTTAGGAGTGTCTTGTGGAAATGGGTGGGGGCTGTTCTGTTCGGGTGGTTCTGAGGCTCCTTGATCGGAATCGTGCTGCTTATTGCAGAGAAGAAATGAAAAAGCATGGCTTTGGAGAAGGAATTGTAGGAATGGGTTTCATTTTGAAGGATGTATGAGTCCAAGAAGCAATTAGTTGATTTTGAAGCAAAGCTGGTTTTCCTTGCATGTCAGAATAGTTTCGTAAGGTCGAAGCTTGTTGCTGTATCATAGTACAGCACTGATTAAACAGGCGGTTTGCGAAGACCAGTTTGGAATGAAGCAAATGAATCTTCTTCCAGTGAGTTGACTTGTGAACTTGCTTTCCAGTCTTCAGATGGGCCAGGATTATCTGAGTAAATAAGAGTTTTAGAAGTAGTTATAACAAATGCTGTCGGTGTCCTGTCTCCTGTGTAAGCAAAGCGCTGCTGTAAGCACTTAGGAGTGTTTGCCTTGGCTCCCATGTGCCGTGTTTTCTCTTTGGGTATCCTTTCGCTGGCTGCCTCCTGTTCTCTCCTCTGGTAAGTTAACTAACAGTTACACGGTTCTTGTGCCCCTGTCAGAAATCTGGGACTGTAAGCAGAAGGTGAACAACTTTGAACTGTTTCTCTTGCCTAGCATGTTAGGAAGAATATTTCAGCGAGTGCCTTGGCAACTCTGGATGTAATGGGAATTAAACTGGGCCGGATTATTCTGGGTTGAGCTGCGCTCAGTTATGCTGCATGTGGAATTGGGCCGCTGATGCTTTCTGCAGCCTCTCCTAGTGCTGCTGCCGGGACAGGGTGGGGTGAGGTCCCTCTCGATGAGGGCTCTGCCTTTGTGGCTTGCTCCGACAGCTCTGCCTGAGCTCTGAGCTGGCTGGGAGTGCTCTGGTAAGGCTGGTTTGCTGGCAGCCCCTGGTCGAGAAGCCTTTTCTTTCCCTGCAACGTCAGCTTGACTCAGAGAGCAGGCAAGGAGAGCACTCATCACTTGGTGTGAGCAGTGAGCTCAAGGCTACAAATAAAAACCCCATCAAACCGACCAGACAAGCAGACCGTGTGGACAGTCCCTCTCCCTTGCTCTGTTGTTGTTTTGTTTTTTTTTTTTTCCTTCAGACTCTGACTTTTTACACTAGCTACTCGGAGCTCCATGTTCTACCAGCAGAAAGTTTCTATTTTTCCCAATTGGGAAGAACACTTCTAGAATGCAAGTCCTAGAGGCTGAAGGGCTAGGACGCTGCTAAAAAGCTTCTTCGATATATTGTGCTTAAAGCTGAGATATTGAAATAGGTGTTCTTTTTTACCAGATCATGATTTTTTAGGGGTAATTCTTAGAACTTAGTGAGGGGGTAGGGTCAGTATGTTGAGCTCTGATGTTTGCCTTTTGAGGTGTTCAGGCTCAGAGGAGCTGGTAGCTTGGGCTGAGGCAGTGCAGAGGGTTGTGCATGTTTTTTTTTTTTTTTTTTTGTTTTGATTGTTTTGTTTTGCTAACTGGTGCTGCTGTAGATAGGAGATGCAGTGTTTGTTTTTTCCAGGAAACACCAAGAAATTAAGGATCAGATCCTTACTACATGGGGCATTGGAGGTAGGAAGGTTCATGGGGTGGAAAGGGAAGAAAAAGCCCCAAATTCAGAAACCAAACCAACCCTGAAGCATGTTGAAGGTAGTTGCTCTAGGGACTTCAGCAACAGTGATCTGCTGTGTAAACAACTGTATGGCACAGTGATTTAAAAAACAAGTGGAAACATTGAAGCAGAGACCACGATGATTGTTTTCTAATAATCTGCCTTTATTTTCTTGAGATTTATTCCTACAAAAAGGCAGTTAACTTTCTGTGCTACAGCATAAGCTATGAAATTAATCCTTAATATTTGCAATGCTACAAAACTCAGTTATAAGTAAGATTTCTGTAAGTTCCATACTGCTGTACATCAAAGCTTCCGACATAATATTAAACTCAAATAATTGAGCTGTAGGTGAAAGAAGTCACTCAGGTCAGTGAAAATATAAATAGACCTTGTGGCTTATTCTGAAACTTCCTGGCTTCGGGACTTCTTAAAATTCTGTGTGTCTTAAAACTTCTGTTCATGTTTTCTGTTTCTCATCTGTGGCTCCAGGAGGGTGACAGTGTATATGGTGTCACTATCTCCATAGCACGGAAGATAAATGCTGGGTGGAAGAGAGGCTTAAGCATGTAGGTAAAGGGAGGGCTTGCAGTTAGCAGTCCCTGTGGGAGAGGGAGGGTGCATTTGTTCACTTGCCAAATAAAAAGGAAGATGAAAAACAGGGATGGAATTGCACTGATGGAAAACAATTGGGAGGGGGCTGGAAAAACAAGGGAGAAAATTTCCAGAGTGAAAACACTGGAAAGCAATTGAAACCTTGTGCTCATCTTGATTTCTTTCTGATACTTATAGGGTGAGTTCCTTCTCAGGTGTGTTTCTCACCCTGATCCACAGGCCTTGAGGACTAAAAGGAGCGAGGAGTTATTTTTCCAAATGCTGTAAGTGCTGTTGTAAGCTTTGGCTTGAAGTTTAGGTGAAAACTTGAGCTGGGAACTGGGGAGACAGTTGTTCTGGGCACCTCACTTCTGGAACTTCCAGCTCTGATGTAGAGATGTTTTCCAAGCAGTCTGCTGTGGGCTTTACATACAAATACTTGCCTTTGCAATGATCTTTAAACTTCAGGTATTGGAAAGGTACTTTTTGAACTTGGTGGTGTGGTCCAGTTAAAGCCAGCCTGCTGCCAATATGGAAAAAGATGCATTTATATGAGCCTCAGGTGATTGCTGCTGTGCTTAGGCACCCAGTGTGTGTTCAACATCACTTAAAGACAAATAGTTCATGGCTTGTCTGTTTGGGAAGGCTCGTGTAGAATATGAAGAAAATACCTTAAAAGAAAAAATAAAAACATTTCAGCTAAAATATTTAATCACTGCTTATGTTTTTTTCCTTGGTATTTTCTCTTTCCTCATGCAAAGAGGAAAAAAACAGCCCTTTATTTCTGAAAGTTTTCCTGGGAGTGTTCAATTCCTAAACCATGCTTTTTAGAGTATGAAGAAGGACAAGGAACTAACTAGTTTCTTGGAAAGCTTGCACTGATTTTAATTTAGCCATGTGACTAAATCAGGTAAATTCCTTCAAGGGATTTATTGTGTTACTTGCTTAAAAACAAATAATAATAATAAAAAAGCTATTGAATTTCAGTGTGCATTTTAAAGTGCAGTAATAAAATAAGTAATATGGCTGAAAAATGCACATTGGAATTAGCTTTGACACTCTATTTGCTTTATGTCTAGCTTTATCTTATAGTGCATTATTCACCGGTAATATACAGACTACTTTATTAAGTCTTAATCAAATGCATTCTATCATAAGCGTCAATTCAATATTTTGCTATTGTGTTTGGTTTTAAATGCTGAGCTTCTTCTAGGAAAATGATGAATGTACACCAGTGTGGTCAGGAAGAGACAGTTTGATATTGGCATGTTGTAAAATTATCTATGAGCTGCAGTTTTACATTGTGTTCTCAAATGTGATTCAGTCAACTTCATTTGCTTGGATGAAGTTGCAACACTGAGGGAAAAAAATGGCTGGTGAGGTTTATCCCATGTAGATATTGGGGGGGTGGGGGGGAAAAGGTGTTTGGAGCTGTATCTGAATTAAACATTATTTGATCACCGCGGGTCATGTTTGCATTGGAATTAATAGAAGATAGATGGAGATGATGTTTAGAGTGCATACACAATGTGCTATATACTACTGTATAAAAACAGGGAACTGGTAATTGTTGTTGTACACAACTGTGTAATGCTATAGCTAAAGATAAATGGGGCTTGCATATATGCCTGCTTTTTAGGGTCCTTAGCTACATGTTTGGGTTTGCACAGATTGTACTCAAAGATCATTTCCTCTGGCTTGAGATGACTGGATAATGCAGAGCAACAATTAGTAGCTGTTTTAAATTAGAATTATAGTGTGCTTTCCTAGCATAACCTCATTGTGCTCTAAAATCTTAGTTGGACAATTAGGACTGTGTGGAGCTGCACGGAGACCATAGTTTTGCAGACTGGTTACAATAAAGGACAATCGCATCGAATTTCCAACATCTCAGCTGAAGGCTTACAGCATCTTCCTTACAAAATACAAACAGGCTAAATTGTTGCTTAACAATCTCCCGTACAGGAAGCAAGAATTAAGTGGTTTCCGTGTCACTAATCAATTTTTTTTTACTCCCATAAATTTACATTTCTCTGCAGCAGCAAAGACTTGCCTAACTACAAAGCATGCTTAAAAGCAACTGCTACTTTGCATTAAGAGAGACTGAGAGATAAAACAACCCATTTACTTGGACTAATACAAAACCTTCATTTTTCTCCATAAAGTGTGAGTTAAGCTTCACTAATGCTGATGGGAATTAAGCACGTGTATGGTAAAGAGCAGCCCTCTGAGGCTGCAACAAGCTCTTTCACAAACAAAATAGATGATGTTCATCGCTGATACTTTTTTTTCCCCCCTTGGGCTGTCTAAACTGTTTGGTAAGAACACATATCATGACAATGAAAGCAGTATTTATTGTAGCATTGGGAAGTTTATAAGCTCAGAATCAGTGTAGCAGTTGCAGTGTTGCAAGTTCTGGCCCTTTTGTCTCAATTTTATGGCTGTGAAGATGTGGCATATAGGGAAAAAAAAATCAGACATTCATTCTTGAAGAATGGCTAGGAAGTGTATGAGTATTATTTCTTATTTCATTTGTTTATAGAGTTGAAGTTAAAGTAGAGGATAACTGACCTGCCTGGGGCTTGATGCTGTTGTGTCTCAGAAATGTGAAATAAATTCACATATCAGAGTGCTTATCTCGCGTCTCAATCAAGCTGTGCCTTGCTGCTGACTGTATTTAATGACCAAAAAATAAAAAGCTTATCTGGTAGTACTGCCGTTCTGATCAGACCCAGTCCTGCCATCCTCAGATGTGTAAGTCTGCTTAAACAAAGCAATGCCTGTGTGCAGAAGCAGCTTTTGACGTGTAACAAAAGGCAGTTTAACCTGCTGTTTTGTGCACAGATATTATCAGAGGCTGCTGTTCCATAGGTGCTTGAATGAATGCAATTAGGCCTGCATACCAGAACCACCAGAACCTTGCTTTGAGCTGTGAATGCCAGAGTTTGTTCTGATTGAGGTTGTGATGGCTCTGCATGTGTCCTTTCTGGGAAAACACCTGTGATTGCAGAGGAGGCTTTCCAAAGTTCATACTGGAGCGGTTAGGTTTTTAATTAGCAGGTGTAAAATTGGCTTTGCTGGCAGTGCCACAGTTTCTGTTGCGTGGAAACATCTCGAGTTGTCCCTTCTGAACACCAAACAACATCCTGAGCCTCGGTCTGGCTGGGGAGCTGTAGGTTTCCTGGTCCAAACTCCGGGGATGTCCTCCCAGGCATTTGGCATGCTTTCCTCATTTGAGTGCCACGATGCTGAGTCTGAACGCTGGGGTATGGCCGTGTCTGCTCTGGTTTGCTCATAGACTTCCCACGTCGCTTCAGCACAATAATGAGCTCTCCAGGCCTTTGTGAAGTGTGGGCATAATGGTGACACCTAAGCAATCTGCTCGCAAGCCTGATGGTTTTGGTGGGTATTGTGTTCGCATCAAGGTGATGCTTGGTGGTCCTATGAGAGATGTTTTCTCTGAAAACCCACACTCATTAAAGAGAAGAGAGATGAGCGTAACAAGCTGTAGACGAGTTATGTGGAGCAAGCGGTACAGCTTTTTTAGTTACATACATTGCTTTTTCTTTTTCCTGGCAGTCATCAGATCTCTTTGTGTTTTAAAAAAAACTTGACAGATGCTGTAATGTTTTCCTCGCTTCACATACTTCATTTTTATGGCTTCCAAAATTTCAGTTTCACTGCTCTTTATAAGCTGGCACCACAACACAGTTTAAAGTCTTTTAATAGAAGAACATATGAAAGCTACTGCAACCTTTTGTCTGTTCATGCATTCCTACTAACAACTAATGTACTTTAGCCTACTCGTTGCTTTTAGTATTTTGCCAGTGGGATTTACAAAGGTTTTTCTTTAGCTTTTCTTCCTTGACTTGTAGAAAAAAAGATGTTTTCAGATCTAACTATTTTTGGGCTTGAAGGTGCCTCTGGCATTGCCAAATGACTTTTTTTCTTTTCTATATGGAAGTAAAAAGTAGTATAAAACTAGAGAAGTGATTGACTGAAAATTTGCTAACATGTCAGACTTCGGATTCAGGTTCAGACAACAGATCTTTTTGGCTTGAATAAGAGAAAACAGTTTGTAGTTGGATGTGTATACACAGACGTTAAGTCTATTGGATTGTTTTGTTTGTTTTTCAAGTATTTTGTGTTTCTATTCTTTATTCTGAATTCATTTTGAAGAAATAAGAACAGTGCTTGACCTGTCTTGCAGAGCAATTACTGGTTCTCTTGGAAGATGTAGGGAACTCCCAACACACGGTGTGCCACAGCTGCACCAGTGGGCTGGGGAGAGGGAAAGCTTATTGTGGCTCCTCACGTGGCCTGAAGTTGGAGCAATTTCTAGGAATTCCAGTCATTATTTCAGTACTTTCTGTACCCTTATTCTCACGTTGTGAGCACCAACTATTTTCCTGTTCTCCTCGGTGAGCCCATCTGTGGGTGCTGCTCGTGCTGTTGTGATGTGTGGATTGCACTTCAAAGCACTGATGCACGTGTTTCTAAAAACCGTGCTGTGGGTCCACAGTATTATTATCAGTATAAATACCAACACTGTGGCATTTAAAACAAAACCTGTGGAACATATCCTTCCTGGGAAGGTAGATGGCTTTCAGAGTGAAGAATGTTGATGTTACTGGCGAGTACGTCCTGTGCAGGGGATCTATTTCTGCTCTTCATAGTGTGAGCCTTTAGATCCTGACAACATATTTTAAACTATGACAGTACTGCCCTTTTAAAACGTGTTTTAAAACATATGTGACAGTCTAGGAGTAATTTGCAAGTGAAGTACCTTTTCCCTTTGGGATGTCATAATTATTTTGGAGACTTAATTTGTCAAGTATTCCCTGCTGAGTTTTTGAAATATTAGTTTGCTTTCTTGAGGTTTCTATGATGTGCAAGGGCAACTTCAGATATTTGATCCTCTGGCTATAACTGCTATTGGTATGACAAATAGGTCAATTTGTGCTTCTAATAATGCTGATAATGTGGCATTCGAATCCTTGATGACAAACAGATATGTATGTTGTGGAAGAAAATAAGAAGCCTCTTCACAAAAAGCAGAATGTTTATATGATTATCTTCAGTCATTATACTTTGAAATGTAACATTTATCTTGGCATTCGGCTTCCTTCTGTACTCATGAAGGCCCCTCTCTCATTTATTACTGTTAGCATACCAGAACAAATGTCTTTCAGATGTGAAAAATCAATCATCTCAAAAACGTCTCCAGTAGTTATTTGGGTGGATTAATGCAAGGTGTTAGGAGAGTAAGGTTGAAATGAGATGT